CCCGCGGGGTGGGGGAGGGGGCATGCCCCTGAGGAGCCATGTCGGCCAGCCTGCCCGCGTGAGGTCTCCCAGGCATGCGCAGCGCCCGCAGGCCTGGCTGGCGCCGGGGCTGGTCTCAGGGCCGAGGACCTGCTGGGGATGTTGTCTCTCTGTCTCACTCTTGACTCTCACCCTTGGGAGAAATAAATAAACTTAAAAACCAGGAGGGCCGTGTACCGCGTTCGAGCTCTCTTAGCTTCGGGGGTGAGACGTAGTGCGATCTGAGTCTGGATTCCCCCCTTTCCTGGCAGAGACTCCGAAAACCCTTGGAGTGTCCAAAGTGAGCAGTGGCTTTTCTTGTGCCATAGAACAGACTGATGGCCGATGCCGGAAAGACCTGGGCCGGACTGGGGGTGGCGACCTGCAAGCGACCCTCTGTGCCCTAGCAAGCACCAGAGCCCAGGGAGGGGCGGGCGTGGAGGGCCGCTGATTCAGGGCAGTCAGTGACCCGCCTGGGCTCGCGAAAGGCATTAGGGCGGGTGGGCCTGTGGGGCCCTCAGCCTGTCACAGCAGTGTTTCCTGTCACGAGAGAACAGGAGGACCCGAGTGGCCTCCCTGCCCGGGAGGATACAGGTCCGGCCCGGGGCCGGGCAGGAGCTCCCAGGGCCACCTGTGCCAGTCCCCATGAGCCCAGCGCCGGCTGCGGTGTGGCCTCAGGCCTCTGGAGCCCCCTTCCTGGAGGAGCAGACAGATGGGTTACTGTTAGGTGCTGGCTGGGTTAAGGAGGAGCCTAGACCCGGCTTACATTGTATTGCGAACTCGCCTGCTTTGTAAGGTACACCAGACTCACTCAGGACTGGGAGAAACAAGATCGAAAAGGAGACCTTGGGGCACAAATTTCCACTACACAAAGGACCTAACAAACCTAAGCAAAGGGGGCTCATGCACACACGCTCACACTCACACACACGCTCACACACGCTCACACACACACGCTCACACACACACACACGCACACACTCACATGCTCACTCACACACACACATGCGCACTTCCCCTCTCTTGGCCCTGGCCTGTCCTGCCTGTGGGACTTTTTTTTTTTAGCCATAGGGCCTGTGCACTTGCCAGACCGAGAGAGAGACAGACAGACAGAGGGAAAATAAGAAATCTCCCTCTTCTCCAGTCTCCTCTCGGGATTTTGGGCACACACATACACGTGCCCAGTGTGAGTTTCTGGGACTTGAACTAGCCAAGCGGGAGTCTAGCGCTGAAGCACCATGCCCTGGGCCCCTGGGACGTCTCTTGTACTGCTCCCCCTCACCAGGCCTGGCCTGCTTGCCTCTCCTGGATTGGCCAATCTGGCTCTGGCCTGTCCACCCGTCTCCTTTCTCACCGCAAACCTGGTGCTAGGCTCTCTCCCATGTCCTGAAACGCCCCTCTGTGATGAGGAAGCGTGGACCGCACATGTGCCAAAACCAGGTGGGTCCTCGGATCCTAACATCTGCCCCCGCCACCCCCGAGCCCTGGTGCAGCTGAGTCGCACGGCTGAGCAGCCACAGAGTGAGGGCCCAGCCCCGGGGTGGCAGCCAGCCCGGGCCACTTCCCTGGTTTGTACACGGCAGAGGGGTGC